TTTTGTGTAATTAAAATTTGTCTTTTAGTTGCGTTCCACCTTTCCCTCCTCATTTACTTTATTAAGTGTGTCTTTGTATTCATTTATATTTGATATTGCCAACGAATACCTTTGAAAAAGTGTTGACCGAAAGGTACCTTAGGTATGACGTCCGTTTTGTTTAAGGCTATATATATATATATATATATATATATATATATATATATATATATTAATGAATCAATGATGACAAAAGGAAAACTTTTCATAGTCGACGCGTTTCGACGTCTGACGTATTTTATCAAAGAAAATGTAAGCATTTTATCCAGAAACAAAAGTAAAAATGCCGCTAGGTTTCGGAATTTTTAAATTTAAGAACGCTCATGTATATACTTTTGGCTAACTGAAAGTAAAGAAAAACTATATATATATATATATTGCTGATAACTCCTGACGAGTGGACGGAGTAATTCCAAAAGAGTCCGTCTACGAATGTCGGGATGCTGAAGATAACATCTAACAGCGAAGCGACAAAACATTTACTTGTATTAATTTTCTCTCTCTCTCTCTCTCTATATATATATATATATATTTAAGTGGAAATTGAAGGCGACATTCTGTTTCAGGCTAAGCGGAATCGTCAAGCATGACGATTTCATTTAGCATTAAATGGACTGTCGCCTTTCAGTGTTTACTTCAATGTCTACTTTTATATTAACATACGCACTATCCCTTTCAAAATGGGTTTTATTTACGTTTTGGATGCGAGACTTAGCAGACATGAAATATTCGAGAAAATAATCTCGGATCAAATGGTGCTTTCTCATACAAAGAAGGACGCAGACACAATTCCTGCCGGAGAGCACATTTTCTTTATTTCTCAAAGGTACATAACGATAAGTGTAACACACTGTTTAAAATAAAAATTGAAATAGAAGTCTCGCCTATAATAACTTTGAAGTAATAAAAATATCGGATTAAAATTAAATCCAGTAATTCTTTAGGAATATATATATATATATATATATATATATATATATATATATATATATATATATATATATATATATATATAGTGATAAATATACACATACATATGCAAAATATATAAATATATATACATAGGTGCATACACATACATGTATATTTTTTGAATAAAAATTCCAAGAGGATAGAAACCAGGTAGAACTCAATGTCCAGGACAGAGTAAGGATATAATAAAAAGGCTTAAACACTAATATTCCATGGTCATAATCTATTCCATTGGAATCGTAAATACGATCCAATTCATTACACCCACAAATTCAAAAAGAAAACAGATAAAACAACTCCGTAAAAAAAAACAGAATTTAGAGAGAGTGTAAGTATGAGGGTGTGGGACGAATGTTAGAGCTAAAGACGGGGTAACAGACGTGAGAAGGTGGGAGATTAAACCTTAACAGAGAGAATTTTAGGAGAGGTGAGTGGAAGGGGTTTAAGTAAGAGAAATATGAATGTTGTCGGATGTCTAATGCATAAAGATACATTTCGTGGTGACATACACACCATAGACGATCTAATGTTGAAGATCAGAATAAGAGGGAGGGAAAGGAAAGAAGAAGTTGGGGAGAGAGATGGGGCGAAGGAAAGTAAAATTGAAGAACATTTACTGAAAGGGCCGCTGTGTAATTAAGAAAATTTGACAAAATTAATATCGACTACAGGTTACAAATCAAATATCAACATAAAAAATAAATGTAACGATTATCTAATCTAGCAAGGACCTATATTTTTATGTTCAAAAACACATGCGAATACACACATACACAATAACATATACACGTATATACATACACATAGGCGTGTACCCACATACACACATACATGTACCCATGTACACGCATATATAAATATATCCACATATCCACATAAATATACACATACACACACATACATATATATATATATATACACACACACATACATGCATCTGGTTCAACATGTTAGTTCTATCTCTGATACAGAGCGCTTTCTAATAAGTACCGCGCCTATAACATACAAATATTTACACCTACATATATACATATGCAGACACACACACATATATATATATATATATATATACACACATTATATATATATATAAATATATATACATATACACACACACATACACATACATATATATATAAATATATATACATATACAGACACACATACACATACATATATATATACATATATATACACACATATACATACACACACACATACATATACACATATATATACACAGACACACACATACATATACACATATATGCACATATCCACCTATATCCATATACACACACTTTTCTCATACATATACATACACACACATGCACACATACATATATACATATATGCACACATACACATCCATACACATACATATACATACATACATATACACATACACACACACATATATATATATATATACACACACACACATACACATACATATACATATTTATATATATATATATATACAAAAATA